CCAAAGCAAAGTCCTTTTTTCTTCAGAAACTCAATTCTGTCTTTCTGTGGCTGTTCTTTGATCTTAATGCAAGAGTCCAGTGTGCGATTCTTCTCACAGAACAAGCAGGGTTTCTGGAAGGCAATAGCAGGCTTATCTCGACTATTTTTCTGAGGCGAGTCTTGTGCTTTCCTCTCTTCAGAAGACATGACGCTTATTGCAAAACTGTTTCCTTTAAGGCCACTCTTCCGATGGGTCTTTATGTCTGCAGTCTTGTCTTTTCCCTTTCCTGCAATACCTCTGTTGGTGTCCTGCATGTCTCTAAACAGCGGATCCATTCCAACTTTGGCTTGCTTGTCGACGAAGTCCACCAAGTCTGTGAACCTGGCTCTTCTTCCTCGTCTTTCTTGAACATTGAAGGCCTTCTCTCTCCACTTCTCTTTCATCTTATATGGAAGCTTTGAGATGACCACTCGCATGTTCGTGGGATAATCCATTTCATCCATGTACTCAATATCTTCCATGGTGTTCCGACATCCAATCAAGAACAATGCATACGTGTGCAACGCTTTTCCATCTTCATTTTTGATCCGAGGCCACTGCCAAGCTTTCTCCATATAGGCACTGGCTATCTTCAGCTCATCACTATAGTGCTTCTGAAGTAGCTTCCTGGCTTCCTGGTAGCCTCTGGTTGGACTCATATGTTCACAACTGCGCACGAGATTTTGTGGTTCTCCACTGGTGAATTGTTCCAGGTAATAAAACTTGTCTTGGCTACTCTCTGTCTTACGGTGAATGGTGTGCTCGAAAGCTCTGAAGGACTTGTAGACAAGTGGATCACCCTTGAACACAGGAATGTCTGAGGAAGGTGACACAAATTTTGCTGTTTTACAAGCATCTCTGTAATCTCGTTCTGATGCTGCATCACTTGATAAAGATCCATTTCATTCCTTTCAGGCATCTGGTGGTGTTGACTTGGGTCTGGTCTGTAGTATGCTGTACTTGTACCAGCCTCTCTACCTCTTGAAGGAGTTGATTTAGAGTCCTCATATGCTCCTATAGCATGAGCCGGCTGGGCTTTCTCAAATACTCTGTCTCTATACTCTTTGTCCAGTCCTGAGGTTCTGCTGGATCTTGTCTTGGTCTTGAAATACTCATGCTTGCCATCCAAAGTGTCCACATATTCACCAAACACCTTTAGCTTAGCACTGGATACTGCAATAGCAGTCTCTGCTTCCAACTTCCTTTTGAGCTTTCAACTTTGTCATCAGCTGTACTTCTTCAAGCTCTATTTCTTGTTTCTTCTTTAAAGATGCTGCCTTGGCTAACAGAGCTGCGTGTTTGGCTTCTAGTGCACGTGCCGAAATTGGAGCTTTTAGAGGAAACTATTGAGTCATTTCCAGTTAGGGAGCGATGTTCACTTGTGTTTTTGCTCCGCGGAACTGATAGTACTGATATGCTGTCTCCTGGATCAACATCATCTTCATCTTTACAATCTTCACTTGTATCTTCAGATACTTCTGTGATCTGCTTTTCCATGGGCTTTTCTGACTCTATATAGCCATTGGCACCCTGGCTTGGTGCCAGCACCGCCGCTGTCGCGCCACCACCGCGCTTTCCTGCTTGATGGGTTCTCACGCAGCTTCGCGTCTTTGTGCTGCCTTGTACTGTAGCTGACTTTGCCATGCTGTCCGACATCTTGTTTCCTCAGTGCACGAGTTGCAAAAGGCTTCAAAACTCTCAGAGTTATTCAATTAAATAACCTTTGCAGATCCGTTCCTAAAATATGTCTTGGCTTGGTAAAGCGAATACAGCTCAAAGTTCTGTTTATGTAACTAGCAGGCTTCAGTAACTCATTAACGTTTGCTTGTCTTTCACTCTTGGTAACAATTTTCTCTCGTACAAACTTAATGGTACCTTCTTCTTAGACACGAATTTGTTGCCTCCTTGTTGGCGAGACGTGAAGAGCATTCTCTCTCTCTTCCACGGCTTTCTTCCAAGTGAGTAGAAGTCTTTTACGTGAGTAGGTTTCTTCCACGTGAGTATAAGTCTTTTACTTGAGTAGGTTTCTTCCACGTGAGTAGAAGTCTTTTACTTGAGTAGGTTTCTTCCACGTGAGTAGAAGTCTTTACTCGAGTAGGTTTCTTCCACGTGAGTAGGAATCTTTTGACTAATTGTAGGCGCAGCTTTCCTGAACTAAAAAATAAGCTACGCCTTAACTTGTGGGAGCTAAAATCCTGACGCGTGTTTGAGGTGTCTTAAATCAAACTGTTTCTTTATTTCTTAGTTCCACAAAAACGAGCGTTTTCTAAAGTTATATCGTCGCCTGTTCACATACTGTATCACCCTGTCGCATGGTCAAACGACTATATCCACTCACTCCCCATTAGCTCTTCTCGTAGCTCCCCGTTTATACTGTAAAAACCGGAAGTGACGGCATGGCTTCAACCAAAGGAGCGTCTAACCACAGGGGGGTTTGTACACAGTTGGAATATTCCAAATCAAATATAACCAGTCCGTCAACAAATGGATAACGTATGTACATCATATTCTTAGCTCTTTCGGTAAAGTCACGTTGAAGGGAAACAATAAAAGAATAAAATATATATGTACATCTATATACAGCAATAATACACTCACTTTCTGTCTTATGGCTCTTACACCAAGGGCTCGACTTTGATATTGTGTGTGCTAGGAGGTCTCAGTTACACGCACCACTCTGAGAAGGTCAAAGGAGCACGTGGCAGGAGGGGCACTGCGGGCCTAATAAGGGAGTGGTGGCTGCCTGTTGGACAGAACAGATGTCCGAGTAGGGCATTTGGAATGGCAGCTAGGAGTTGGTAAACACTTTAGCCCAGATCCTGATGGGAAGACACCTTGGGCAAGGGGGTTATTGTATTGTGGAAGCAGTGGTTAGTTGCTGCGTTGTTTAGAATCAACAGCATTGACATCAATACACTAATATGGCTCCTTCCCAATATCTGTCTCTCCACGTAAAAAAAAGTTTGGTTTTTTTACATCCCATCAGCCACGTGAAATTCTGAAAGTGGATGATTTACGCAGCATTGATTGAATGCCAGGCTTGGTGTCTCATGAGCAGAGTCAGGCCTGCTGGTGAACTCCCAGATGTTTATATATATGGGCCAAATGTTATTTATAGGTTATGGGTCCTACTCTTTGGGTCTTTCGGTAAAGTCACGTAGATAGAAAAATAATAACAAATCACGTTTCGATCGCAACACAAGCAATCATCCTCAGGTGAAAAAATATAGCAAGAGAGCTGCTGAAACAGGGTGTTATATAGACCTGAGATGGGTGCAGCCCAAGGGTAAGTGGGTGGGGTTAGAAAAGGAAGATCGAGGGCACCCCAAAGCTTTTGGGCAGTCCATTGTATTGTGAGAGATTAGCATGTCAATGTAGCCACTGCTACATCGAGGAATGCAACTCAGAGAGTCAGAAATAACTGCTAACATCGGCAGGTAGGATGGAAACATCACAGCCAGTTATGACTTAAACTGGTTAATAACGTCCTTCCAATGATTGCTCAGTTTGTACCCACCTTCTCGGTTGAAATTTTGTCTGTGTTTATACATCTGGATGGCTTCATGAACGAATCTTTGTTGATAGCCAATAGGTTTGCAGAGTACCTTTGTCTTGGAGAAATCAATTTCGTGTGTGCCCACAGCATTAAAACAATGATCATCCACAGCCGAGGTATTGGTCCTACCGTGTTTCAGATCAGCCTTATGTTCACAAACATGGTCCGAGGCATGTCGCTTAGTTTCCGCAATATAACTACTGCCGCAACCACACGTTAGTTTTTTATGGGTCCTAGTTTGACGCAAAGTTTTAAAATACGTAGCAGAAAATAATCACAAGCAATGTGTACAATATAAGTAACAAAATACATTTTGGGCAAACTAGGAACATGTTAGACAATGCTGTAAATTAAAACTCAAATGTTCCATCTAAGCATATATATGTATCTGTTGTTAACCAGGTAAGAACGCAAGAGATCAGGATGGTCTCATTTGAAAGTTTTCCATACCTCCGATTAGCAAGGTTGACTTACGTGCAGTGCGAAAGTAGTTCAACATGCATATGGGTCACCCGAATCACCGAAATTATCAACGAAAAAACGTAGAAATATGTTCAACAATGAAGCCAATATAAATCAAAGACAATCAAATGGAAATCAAATCAACAAGAATAAAATATATATCAGAGTGAAAAAGACCACGTTAAATGAACTGATCAGTTTTGCAGCAGAGGTAACACTCTTAATTAGTTGAGCAGCAATATAATTTCATCGTCTACGTAAGGCTATGCGGAAAGTCACTCCATACATAGATTCGGGTCTTCTCGGCCAAAGTCATGCCCAAACTGGACCCCTCTGAAGGAACATCTGTGCAAGTTTGAAACATTCAGGCTGGCCTTGAAAGATCTTAACTTCGTCCCATCAGTGATCTCCTCTGGCAGGAAATTATGTATAGTTTGGTTCATGTAGCCAACATGCCCAGTCACCGCATGCCCAAGCAGAGTCTGTTTTGTCAGATTAAGGGGGCTAAACAGGTGTGACACAAGCTAGAGATAATATGGGCACTTCTGGTATGGGAGCATGTGGAGCCGTGTGAACTTGCGAATGACTGATATCAGTGGTAACAATATCGACTTGTATGAAGCAGGCTCGTGAAGGATGTTACTGGGCAGTTTTAGGCAGTCACCCTCCAAAAACAATGGAGGTCAGAGGAGCGACACTCGCAACGGCGAGCAGAGTGCGGGGTGAATAAAACGCATCAAGTTGGCACAGTAGGGAGCACAGTTGGTGGATCTGCCAAGTCACCTCAGTCAGTCGACCCATGGCACCTAGATCTGTCCCGTGATGTGCTAGCAAGCCTTCGGACACTTGACATGGCCTCAAGATGCACCTAGCCAGCCACGAGTGCCGTGATGACATCGTCGCCACTTTATTGGCGGCGAACAGCTGTTGTTGTTGTCATCATCGTCGTGTCTGTGTGCAGGTTCTGGACCCACACTACGGGATGTATGTGTGGCCCTGTTCCGTCGTGCTTGCGCAGTTCGTGTGGCACAACAAGGCACTTGTCAGAGACCAGCGCATGCTCGAGGTGAGAACGGTGCCTGGCACACAGCTCACGTCCCACCTGGGCTGCCGTAGAAAGTAGACCAAAACCTTGCCCAATCGCGCGCGCGGGGGGGGGGGGGTACGTTCTTTGAAAATGATTGCGCAATCGGCAAAGCTGCCATCCCAAAGCTCACAAAAATCGAATGGGAAAAAATCGAGTTTTGGCTCACAGTTCGTAAAACAACCCCTTTTTCTTGTTTATGTTATCCTGTATGACCCAAACATGAAACAGGAACTATTTGAATGCAAAATATGATTAATATTTTTTACAGTATTACATATGACTTGTACAGTATATCTATTGAATTAAAAAAGTTACATAGTGTACAATACTGTACTGTATACATACAAGTAAACCTGAAAATAAAGATGAGGTTCATGACATGTGTACGATAAATATGCAGTTAAAACAAAAATAAATTTACTCCCTATGAATGATGGTGCATCTATTCTTCTGCAGCAGCATCGCAGACAGTGCAGTTAGCGCACTGTACTTCTTTCAGATGCGTGCTGTACAATAATCTCTCAGTCAAACCGTAAATGCCGAGCCACATGGGGGCGCGGTCGGCGAACCGTACCTGGATAGAATTGGCGCAAATGCTCACATCCGCGATGGGAAAACCCACGATGAGCAAAGTTTGAATGTATTGGACATTTAGCTACACAACACTCAGATACCTCCATAATAGAGGTTTTTTTTGGGTTAGAGTGCATAAATATAAATGTGTTGTTAAACCCGCCATGTTGTTGTGGATTTACTCTCCAACACACCGGTGTGCTGAACTAGTAACAAATTGGCACATTTTGTTACGTGACAAACCTTACTAATTGGCTGTGTCGGGTGGTGGCAGGTTTAACAACACATATTTTCTTCTTTGGTTCTTTTGGTAAAGTCACGTAGAATGAGAATAAAATAATAAATTAATAAAATAAAATAACACAATAAAATTCTCACGACGTTTCGGCCACAACACAAGTGGCCTTCTAGTAATTAATTTATTATTTTATTCTCATTCTACGTGACTTTACCGAAAGAACCAAAGAAGATGAATCCTTGCAGTCACGAAAGCTTTAAATCGACATTTATATTTAATCGATCTAACCCCAAAAAACCTCTGGATAATATTGGTCGCGAAAGCCTACATGTTACTCTGATACTTGAATACAGCTCTTTATTGGAGTGATATTAATCTTTCCACGATCAACAAAAGTAAACCCAATGATCATATCATGTAAGGCTGGAAATACTGCAATTCCTATACTCTGATTCTTTCGGTAAAGTCACGTAGGTATAAAATAATATAAATTACGACATTTCGGGTGCAACACAAGCGTCCGTTACCAGGTGGGAACGCATGGTCTGCTGCTGAGGCAGACTGTTTTTAAAGGTTTGAAATGGGTGTAGCCCAAGGGCCATAAAGAAGTGGCCGGGACTCGTGATGTTAATGTGAGAAATTAGCATGTAACTGTAAGAAAAAAGGAGAGCGGCCTCCTAAACAAGGGCATGGAAGTGGCTATGTTAATGTGAGAGATTAGCATGATGTTAATGTGAGAAATTCGCATGTAACTGTAAGATAGGAGAGCGGACTCCTAGATGAAGGCACGGAAGTGGCTATGTTAATGTGAGAGATTCGCATGATGTTAATGTGAGAAATTAGTATGTAACTGTCAGATAGGAGGAGAGCGGCCTCCTCGACGAGGGAGTGCAAACCAACATGTGAGCATGAGAGATCTAAGAGAGAGACACAGAGAGTTGGAAATAATAGCTGACATAGGCAGGTAGGATGGAAACATCACAGTCAGTTAAGACTTTACCTGGTTAATAACGTCCTTCCAATAATTGCTCAGTTTGTACCCATCTTCTCGGTTGAAGTTGTGTCTGTGTTTATATATCTGGATGGCTTCATGAACAAATCTCTGAAGGTAGCTGGTAGGTTTGGAGAGTACCTCCGTCTTGGAAAAAAACTATTTCGTGTGAGCCCACAACGTTAAAGCAACGATCAGCAACGGCAGAGGTATTAGTCCTACCGTGTTTCAGATCTGCCTTGTGTTCCCGAACGCGGTCCGAGACATGTCGTTTCGTTTCCCCAATGTAACTGCTGCCGCAACCACAATTCAGTTTGTAGACACCAGGGTATTGCATGTCAGGAATCACATCCTCTAAACATGGGAATAAATCATGGATTTTGTGTACTGTGTTGAAACGAACCTGGATCTTGTGTTTGTTTAAGATTTTGGAAACCTCTTTGGTAACACCTGCTATGTACGGTAAAATGATGGTTTTGGTTGGATCCTCAGAAGATTGTTTCCGCATGGCTGGGGAGACAGCTTTGCGGATTGTACGGTCCGAGTATCCATTCATCCTGAGGGCTTGGTGTACGTACTCCAACTCACTGGCTAGGTGATGCTGGTCGGAGATGCAACGGGCCTTATGGTGTAGTCTTTTGATGAGGGAATTCTTCTGGGCTGGATGGTGGTGGGAGTCAGGCTTTAGTTAGGCATCTGTGTGGGTGGCTTTCCTGTAGACTGAATGTCCTAACGTGCCATCAGGTCTCTTCTCGATCAAAACATCCAGGAATGGTAGCTTGCCATCCTTTTCCACTTCCATGGTGATTTTGATAGACGGGTGTATGGAATTGATGTGGTTGAGAAATTGGTTCAGTGCTGGCAGGCCATGTGGCCAGATGACGAACGTGTCATCTACGTATCTCTTCCACAAGGAAGGACGTAGGGTGGATGTCTGGATGACATCTGTCTCAAATTTCTCCATTAAAATAGCCACTTTTGTGCCCTCATCTAGGAGGCCGCACTCCTTCTTTCTTACAGTTACATGCTAATTTCTCACATTAACATCACTAGCCCCGGCCACTTCTTTATGACCCTTGGGCTACACCCATTTCAAACCTTTTAAAACAGTCTGCCTCAGCAGCGCCATGCTTACCCACCTGATGACGGATGCTTGTGTTGCGCCAGAAAAGTCGTGATTTATTTTATTTTATACCTACGTGACTTTACCGAAAGAACCAAAGAGTATAGATTCCTGCAGTCATGAAAGTTTCAAATCAAGACTGCAGTTCCTGTTATAATGTCACCATGTCACCATGGTGTTCATATTCACAGTAATACTTGAAAAACAGAGCATAATAATTTGGTTCATTCTAGATTTTAAGTTTTCGTGACTGCAAGGATCCATACTCTTTGGTTCTTTCGGTAAAGTCACATAGACAAAATAAAATAATAATAATAATAAAATATGGTTAGGCACTGCCTTACCAACACTTACTTCACCTGGAATTATACCTTCTACAACCAAAATTAAGGTACCCCTATGGGTTCCCCATTATCACCAGTGATGTTTTCATGGAGAAATTTGAAACAGATGCCATCCAGACATCCACCATACGTCCCTCCTTGTGGAAGAAATATGTGGATGACACTTTCGTAATTTGACCACATGGCCTGCTAGCACTGAGCCAATTTCTCAACCACATTAATTCCATACACTCATCCATCAAATTCACCATGGAAGTGGAGCAGGATGTCAAACTACCATTCCTTGATGTTTTGTTTGAGAAGAGACCTGATGGCTCTCTGGGACACTCTGTCTACAGGAAAGCCACCCACACAGATTCCTACCTGAAACCTGATTCCCACCACCACCCGGCACAGAAGAATTCCCTCATCAAAACACTACATCATAGGGCCCACTGCATTTCTTACCAACAACACCTAGCCAGTGAACTGGAACATGTACACCAGACCCTTAAGATGAATGGATATTCGGACCGCATTATCCGCAAAACTGTCTCTCCAACCATGGAGAAACAACCCCTTGAGACACCGGTCAAAACCATCGCGTTACCATACATAGCTGGCGTTACCAAAAATATTTCCAAAATCTTAAACAAACACAAGATCCAGGTCCGATTCCATACAGTACACAAAATCCGTGATCTTATCCCATCCGTGAAGGATGTCATTCCTGACTTGCAATACCCGGGAGTCTACAAATTAAGTTGCATCTGTGGTGATTGTTAGATTGGGAAAATGAAACGTCATGTCTCTGACCGTGTCCGCGAGCACAAGTCAGATTTGAAACACGGCGAAACTAATTTCTCCGACCATTGCTATAACGCTGTGGGCTCTCATGATATTGTTTTCTCTGGGACCAAGGTGCTTTGCAAACCGTCTGGCTACTATCAAAGGTTTGTTCATGAAGCCATCCAGATATATAACAGAGACACAAGTTCAACCGGGAGGATGGATACAAATTGAGCAATCATTGGAAGGATATTATTAACCAGGTAAAACCTTAGCTGCTCTATAGTTTGCTTTCATATCCACATCTCCAGTCTCTTACGCCCAGCCCTCCTCATTCACATCATTCGGAAATTTGCCGTGCATGTCGAGCTTGCAGCGCAGGTCATTTACTGCTCCCTGTCTTCAGGATATTTGCTGTGCATGCCATATTTGCTTCCTCTCCACCCCACCCTCTCTATCCTTGGCTCCGCACCCCCCTCCCTCACCTATATAATCTCCTGTTACTCGTAGCTCTTTTGCCTACTTCAGCAATTGTTTCTTGGTGTGGTTGTCCCACCTGAGGATGATTGTGTTGCGTCCGAAATGTCGTGATTTAATTTATTTTTTATTTAAATTTTATTTTGTCTACGTGACTTTACAAAAAAACACTAATGTAGACTGTAGCCTGGTTATTTAGTTTGGTGAGTGTCCTGGCAGTCTATAATGTAGACTGTAGCAATTGATATTAAGCTGGGTGAGTGTACTGGTAGTCTATAATGTAGACTGAAGCCTAGTTCTTAACCCCGGTGAGCGTACAGGCAGTCTATAATGTAGACTGTAGCCTGGTTCTTAACCCGAGTGAGAATTTAAATATAATAAAAATAAATAATAATAAATAAGAAATATAAATAAAAACAAAAACCACAACGTTTCGATCGCAACACAAGTGGTCGTCATCAGGAA